ACAAATATTTATAGGATGTTTTAAGATTTATAATGGACTTTACAAGTATTATATCATTTTATCCTTAGAACAACCTCAGAATTAGGTGCTATTATTATCCCCATTTTACAGATGTTGGTCAAACAGAGGTTAGGTCACTTGCAGGTAAGAAATAGAATTTAGGGAACGACTGCTAGTACAATTTTTAGCATTCACAAAGGGGTAGTATGAAATAATGCCAGAAAGGAGCCAGACTGTGTGGATGGCACTCTCTTTCTCTCTCTGTGTATACACACACACACATACACACACACACACACACACACACACATGCAAATACCACATACATATACACACCCATATATACTATAGACATAGTCCATGTATATAGATATGTCTATATATTGCCTATAGGTTGATATAGATATATATTTAGATATGGCCCATATCTAAATATATATCTATTTCTATAGATATAGCAACTTATAGGCAATGAAAAATTACTAGATATTTTTTTTTAGCAAGAGAATGATGTAGTCAGACCTATGCCTCAGGAAGATTATTTTGGCAGCCATGTAGAAGAGAGATTGGCAAAGGATGAGACTGAAGGCAGGAAGGCCATTACAGCAGTCCAAGAGAGAAGTGATGAGTACTTCAAATTAGCTGATGACCTTTGGAGTGGAAAGAAGAGGATGGGTGAGAGAGGTGCTGCAGGTGTAGAACTAACAAGATCAAGCAGTTTACTGGGCATCACGGGAGTTGAGGGAGAGGGAAAAGTCATGGATAATCCAAGATTATAAACCTAGGTAACTAGGAGGATGGCTATACCCTCAAAAGAAACAGAGAAGTTTGAAGATTTAGTTTGGTGGGAGATAAGTCCTGTTTTAGACATCATGATACAATTAAAAGGAGCTATCAAGCAGGCAGTTGACATGTTCAAATGGAATCCAGGGCAGAAGATAAAAAGTTGGGAGTTAGCATCAGAGAGATGGTAATTAAACCCAAGGAAACTGATGAGGTTTCCAAGGAGAGAATAGGGAAACTGAAGAGAAGCATATTTAAGAGTACTTAACCTTGGAAAACATCCATGATAATGAAGCAGGTGATGGATGGTGGTTTACCAAAGAAAACTGAGGAGGGTCAGCCAAATAGAAGAGAACTGGGAAAAGCAAGTACACAAAAGCCAAGGGAGGAGAATTATGTCCAGTACACTTTCCTTTCCCTCTCCTTTTTCCTCTCCCCCTCCCCCCTCCTCTTCCTCCCTCCCACTCCCTTTAGTACTGGCAATTATGGGGCTGGTTTGAAGAAAGAGACAAAAATGTTCCATTGTTCTCTGGGTACACTGCATAACTGTGGTTCCTTCCATGTAGAAGTAGCAGAAGTACATATGTACTTCCCAGATTAGCAACCTTGTTGGCTACTTTCCCCACCCATACAAGATACTTATCTTGTATAAGTATACTTCTATTTATCATTGCTTGCCCTGCTGTTGCTAACAGACTTGGAATGCTTGTCTCCTAGTCCAGTGGTCACTGCACTATTGAGTGCCAAAGTGACACTGGCACTTGTAACACTAATTCACAAAGTGAAAGATGTAGGCACTCCTTCTTGGAGTAAACACAATCAGAAACTAAACAATCAGCTAAAGACAAAAGCACTCAGTTCAGAAGCTCAGAACACAGCTGCAGTGTCAGAAGGGGGAAAGGAAAGGAGGGTATCTTGGCCAGGCTCTCTCTGCCCAGGAAACTATAACTAGGAATCTGATTTACTTAAGTTGAACATTATCTCTCTGCCTCCTCTGACTCTGATCTTCAAGCTACTTCACTGACCACAGGATAGAGATGCCCTTATTTCTACCCAAAGTCAGGACTTGAAAGTTCTGAATTATCAGGCCACAAAGGTTCTTTCTTCCCAGACTGACCCTAATCCTTTTTTTCTAAGTTGTCTTTTAAAAAAATTTATTGATATCTTTTGTCTTTATATCATTTTCTTTTCTATCTCCCTCTCATTCTACAACCCAGAGAGCCCAGCCCTTAGAACAAAGTAAAAAGATAGAAAGAATGGGGAGGGGAAAGCAATTCAGCAAAACTACCCAACATATCAACTGAATCTGAGAGTGTGTGTAATGTTCTATATCCATAGTCCCTTACCTCTCTAGAGAAGAGAGAGATATGCATATTCTCATCCCCTCTTTGGGGCCAAGTTTAGTCATTATAATTACATAGTGTTTGGTTTGCGGTTTTGTTGTTCTTTCCATTTACAATGTTGTCTTGTGTATATTGTTTCTCTGATTCTTACTTTGTATCAGTTCATATAAGTCTTCCTAAGCTTCCCTGTATTCTACATATTTATTATTTCTTACAGTGCAGTAATATTCTATTATATTTATGTGCCATAATTTGTTTGACCATACATCAATCAGTGGGCATCTACATTTTCTGGTTCTACTCCTAAAGCACAGAATTAATTAGACAAAACTTGGGGACCTTTTTATGCAATCAGGCAAATTGAAAAGGCAGCTCAGAAAATTGAAAGAAAAAAAAAGTTTGAATAAAAACTAGGCCCAGTATTGACTGGGGTGAAGGAACCTGGAGCAAATGATATATCTTATCAGCTTGCATAGTCTTATCTAGGTAGACAATTTCTGTACTTGAATATGGTCACCTTCATCATTATTATCAGCAAAACATATGGAGACTCTATTACTGTGCCAGGTCTGTGAAGGGTAAATGTAAGACATAGGCCCTATCCCTAGGGACTTTATATTTTACTGTAATTGGAGAGATTACCACATGTTGTCTTCCATTGGGAATAAAGACAAAGGAATAGCATACACTGCTGTTGGAGGATAGAAATGAACGATGTTGCTGTGGGTTGGGATGATCAAGAAAGCTTCATGAAGAGGGTTGGAACTTCAAGACTAAAGAGGATTCAATTAAAGGAAGTTAAATTCAGTTAACAGAGTGGAAATTTCAGGCTAAACATTCACCAAGTGACCTTTTGCTCTTCTTTTTTTCCACCTATTGATGGACTGATGTAAATATTTGTCTTCTTGGCATTTATAATTCTTATTCTCATCTATTGAATTGACCCTGTTCCTCTTCCCTGAAATATTTTACTTACTCCTTTCTGCTTACCTAAATTCTGCTCATTTTTCATGGCCAAATTCAAGACCCACTTCCTTCAAACAACCTTCTCAGACCATTCCTGCCCACAGTGATCTCTCTCAATCTCTCTTTCTCTCTCTCTCTTTGAGTTAGTGTGTGTTTGTGTCTGTCTGTCTGTCTTTGCCTGTCTCTATCTCTCTTTCTGCCTCTGTCTTTCTTGGTCTCTCTGTCTGTCGTCTGTCTCTCTCTGTCTGTCTCTCTGTCTCCATCTCTCTGTCTCTGTCTCTCTTTCGAGTTTCTAGAAACTTTACTCTCTGTTCCACTTAGTGAATGGCTCATTTGTCACTTGGGATATATTATATCATCATTTCTCATGGGTATGGTTTTCATCCCCATGCAGACAACTTCCTTATCTTTGTATCTAGCTCTAATCTCTCTCTCTTTGGAAGTCTAGTTTCATATTAAAAACTGCCTGTTGAGAAAATGATAAATGTTAGAGAAGATGTGGGAAAATTGGAACACTAATGCATTGTTGGTGGAGTTGTGAACTGATCCAACCATTCTGGAGAGCAATTTGGAACTATGCCCAAAGGGCTATAAAACTGTGCATACCCTTTGATCCAGCACTACCACTACTAGGTCTGTATCTCAAAGTGATCCTAAAAAAGGGAAAAGGACCCATACGTACAAAAATATTTAAAGCATCTTTTTTTGTGGTAGCCAAGAATTGGAAATTGGGGGGATGCCTATCAATTGGGAATGGCTGAACAAGTTATGATATATGAATGTAATGGAATACTATCGTTCCATAAGAAATAATGAGCAAGCGGATTTCAGAAAAACCTGGAAAGACTTACATGACCTAATGCTGAGTGAAGTGAGCGGAACCAGGAGAACATCATACACAGTAACAGCAACATTGTGTGATGACCAACTTTGATAGACTTAGCTCTTCTCAGCAATGCAATGATATAAGACAATTCCAAAAGACTCATGGTGGAAAATGCTATCCACATCCAAAGAAAGAACTATGGTGTCTGAAAGTAGATCAAAGCATACTATTTTCTCTCTCTTTTTTCTGATTCTTCTTTCTCAACGTGACTAATGTGGAAATATGTTTAATATGATTGTACATGTATAGCCTATTTTAGGTTGCATGCTGTTTTGGAGAGAGGGAGAGGAATGAGAGGGAAAAATTTAGAACTCAAAATTGTATAAAAGTGAATGTTGAAAACTAAAAATAAATAAATTTAATTTTAAAAAACTGCCTGTTGGACATCTTATGTCATCATAGCTGGAAGGGGCCTTAAAGGCTTCATTTCATAGATGCAGAAATGAAAACCCAAAAAGGTTAAATAATTGTCCAAGGTCACACAGATAGTGAGTAACTTAGTAGGGATTTGAACCTAAATCCTTTGACTTTAGAACTTAGAGCTCTTTCTACTATAGAATGGATGGATGGATGATGAATGGTTGAAGGATAGAGGACAGACGGATGTATGGTGGATGGATGAATGGATGGTAACAATAATAAGGACAAAGGAATTAGAGAAGAGGAAGATCATTATAAGCTGAGTAGTTGAGAAAGACTTTACTCCAGGAGGCAGTACTTGGGTTTGCCTTTAATGAATGAATAGGATTTGGACAAAAGGCCTATTTTTGAGCTCCTACACCTCACTGATAACCCTGGAGTTGAAACAACCAGGAAAAGCAGTGGCAGGGAGGAGGGGAGGGAACAGAGGTGGAGTCAAGATTCCAGTAAACTTCTCTTTGGCTGCCCTCAGCTTTGCACAAGAGTCCTTATCTCCTTACCCCACCTATATATTTGCATATGACCCTATGGACAATGACACTGCCCTAAGTAACTTGTAAGGCTGCCAGTTATTCTGTTGTCTTTGCAGCCCTGAAGTCAGGCAGAATCTAGCCACCCTCTGTCCAGAGAAATTGGGGCCCACAACCCTGGGTCCCTCCCTGGCTCCAACCACTGTGGCTCAGCAGGGTTGCTTTAGGAATTGGATTTCCCACTATCCCCTGACTCCTACTTGACTTAGTCTCCAGCCCAAGCATCCTGTGAACTCAACCTCTTTTTCCCTGGAGATGACGTCAATGGGACTCCCTGACCCAGCAAATGGAACCCAATGGAGACAAAAGTGCAGCCCCACTGGCAAGAAAGGTGACATCCAGGGCGAAGTTCCTAAAGCTGACAGCTGCCCCTCTCAGCAGAAATCAGGTGACTAATGGGTCAACATGGGTGCAGGGTCTCAGCAGGAATTACTCTCCTCTTTGCTGTACTGGTGGGATAATGGAGGGAGGCCAAGGGTGACACTGAATGGGAGTCAGGGTCACTACTTTGTAGACCTTAGAGCTTTCTAGAAATGCCAGCTATCTATTTAATGTGTTACTTGCTGTGAAACCTTTCTCATCATTTTCCTTTTTTTTTACTACCACCATAAAATATCTAAGATAGAGCTTTCTTTCTACCACCCCCCCACCCTCATTCTGCATCTCTTTTTCTTCCTTTACCATGTTCACTAAGCCAGCACAGATTTGGCAAAGGTGATTAATAGGCCTACACTGGCTATGAAAGAGAGATAAGGATTGGCCAAAAGAAATTACGTGCCATTGCATGTTATATAACAGGTTACCAGTGCAGTATAGGTAAAAGATATCAGTGTTTGTCCAGTTCTAGAATCAATTCAGTTCATTGGTTCAAATCTTTTTTATTTTTTTATTAATTTATTTTGATTTATTAACAATCACTTCCATAAGCTTTTGAGTTTTAAATTTTTCTCCCTCTCCCTTCCCGCCTCCCTCCCCAAGACGGCACACAATCTGATATAGGCTATACATATACATTCCTATTAAACATATTTTCACTTTAGTGATGTTGTAAGGAAGAATTAGAACCAATAGGGGGAACCACCAGAAAGAGGGTTCAAATCTTCTTTCTTAATTAATCTTTTTCTCACTAAAGCCAGTCCTTTGGTTTTCATATTCAGTTTACTTGGCTTACATTTTCAAGCTACCAGGACAAGTCATTTGACCTCTATGGGATTCAGTTTCTTCATCTATAAATTATCATGGGAGCTTTCCTATGACCACAGCCTTTTAGGAGGTATTTAGGTTAGTCCTAGAGACTAGGGTAAAAGATCCAGGAGCCTAAGGATCATTCTTTAAATTTAATTGTACTTTATCCTTGTCTAGTTATCCCTGGGCTTTGTTCCCAGGGATTGGGGAGTTATCCAACTTAGGGCAAACCTAGTCATCCATTTCTGGGGGAACCAAACCCAACACTCATCTTTTTTCCCCTTTACTTTACCCCCCACCTTAGTTTGTTATCTGTCTACCCCCATGCAACCTGTCATGTACTTCTATTAACAAGTGGCATTATCACTCCCTAACTCCAAAAATATCCTAGCCATAGCTGCCCCTTTACCTTAAATTTTCTGGGGTTGTACGCTCAGCTGCAGTGTGAGAGGCATCAGGGGAGTACAGGACTGGTGGGGAGGGACACAGAACCTCTTTGTCTGGGGTGGAAGTAATCACTCTTCCAGGTTTCTCCCACATCCACCATGATTAATGAAAGAGCTAGGCTATAGGTCCATGCAGAACTCAATTGTTCTGTACATTAAGATTTGGTCCTACAATTATTCTCTCCTCCTTCTCCCCTGTTCTCACTTTTATTCTTCAGGAGGAAACCAGAGAATGATGGGGGGAGGGGGGGAGGTGAGAAGGATTTATTCCCCCTCCCTCATATCCTCCTTCAGGGACCTAGCTGAACTCATTCTCAAGTCCTGCCTTTCCCCATTCTAATGTAATAAAACATGATACCAACAAGTGCTTTTCTCTAGAAATGGGTTTTCTGACTCTCTAATAATTTCATTATGGATACTATGGGGATTTTTGTATTCCCCTCTTTTTTTTTTTTTAGGAAATGTAATTTTGAATTTCATTCCTTTTCTTACTGGCTCAATACATAAATTACTAAACCTGAAAAAAAAAAGAACTAAGAGGAAAAAGTTGACATTATATTATTTTATGTAAGCCTCACAACAACCCTATGAGGTAGGTACTATAAGTATCTCCATTTTACAGAGGAAGCTGTGGCTCAGACAGGTCAGGCCACTTATGGTCACACACATGGGATGTCTGACCTGGGATCTCAACCCAGGTCATCCTAACTCTAGGTTAAGTACCCTTCTCATTCTACCACAGTAAGGAGATTGGATTAAAGGTACAAAAAAAGCCATAACATTCTACCTAATACGATGATCTTTGCCCATGTCCTGTGTTTCTTCCCTTTTTGTCTCTTGCCAAATTAAGGATGTTCCTCAGTCCTGGCCATCACCTGGCCAGGACCTGGGCCAGATCTATTAGTCTTCTGGATATAGTCCATCTTTTTGGAACTTTAGTCTTTATAAAATCAGACTCGACCATACTCTAAGGTATCCTTTTTCAACTCTGCATTTATACTCTAAAACACAAACTTGTTCTAGTTTGACATCTTATTCTGGGCACCACAGTTATCAAGCACGTTATCAAGCTATAGCTCATCCACTTCTTGCCAGTGGGGCTGCACTCTTGTCTCCGTTGGATGAGCTCATCCAGCTCATCCGTTGGTGACTATTGATAATGAGGGACTATAGACCATACCACACAATGTTTGCTTGAATGAACTTGATGTATGTAACCTGGAAAAGAGAAGAGTTGGGAAGGGAGGTGGGTGTGGGGGAAACATACTATCTGTCTTCAAGTATTTAAAGGGCTGTCAGGTGGAAGAGAGATTAATTAGATATATTCTTCTTGGCCACAGAGAATAGAACTAGGAGCAATAGATGAAAGTTATAGGGAGGGAGATTTCAGGTTGCTACAAGGAAGAACTTTCTAATATTTATAGTGATCACAGAGATCACAGATTTAGAAGTGGAAGAGATCCTTATTGCTTTTGTCCAGTTGTTTCAGTCTTGTGTGACTCTTCATGAGCCCATTTGAGATTTTCTTGCCCAAGATCCTGAAGTGGTTCATCATTTCCTTCTCCAGTTCATTTGACGGATGAGGAACCTGAGGCAAACATGTTAGGTGGCTTGCCCAGGGTCACACAGCTGGTAAGTACCTGAGGCCAGATTTGAACTCAGGAAGATGAGTCAGGGAGACAGGGAGCTGGGCATTCTATCCGCTGCGCCACCTAGCTGCCCTGGAAGAGATCCTACAGATCATGTACTAGAACAGATGAAGAAATTGAGGCCCAGAGAGATTAAATGATTTTTCCAAGTAGCAGAACCACCATTTGAATGCAGATTCCCTAGATTAAAATCAAAGATTCTTTTCATTGTTCTACACTATATAAAAATGAATTTACTGCCATGGGAGGTATTTTTTTCTCAGTTAATGGAAGTCTTCAAACAGGGATAGATGATCTCTGAGGAACATTGCAGCACTAGGATTCTTTTTTTTTAAAATTAATTAATTTAGTTTTAGTTTTCAATATTCACTTTCATAAGATTTTGAGTTCTAAATTTGTCCCCCTCCCTTTCCTCACTCCTCCCTAAGACAGCATGCAATTTGATAGGCTATACATGTATAATCATATTAAACATGTTTCCACATTAGTCATCTTGTGAAAGAAGAATCAGAACAAAAGGGAAAAACAATGAGAAAGAAAAAAAAACAAGAGAAAGAGAAAGCAGTATGCTTTGATCTGCATTCAGACTCCACAGTTCTTTCTCTGGATGTGGATAGCATTTTCCATCATGAGTCTTTTGGAATTGTCTTAGATCATCAGCAATAAGATTCTGTCAATAATTCTATTGTATACCCCTAATCTCATCCTATATAAGCTCCGTGGGGTCTGGTTTATCTTCCTATTTTCCATAGCAAGTAATAAAGTACTTTGCATATAGTAAGTATATCTTCAATAAGTTTTTGTTCAATAAGTGAATTGAATAGGGGAAAAAAATCTCGTGATCAGACCCACTACCCTCTCCTCTGGGTCTTTCATTAGAAGACTACATAGAATGGACTCTCCCTTTGAGATGAACACTGTAAGATGGGGTAGAAAAGGAGTGGATGAATGGAAATATAAATGAAAGAGAAAGACTCTGAGACCTTAACTTCTAGTTTGGTTGACAGCAGAGGACACGGTAGCAGCTCCCTCTTCTTTCCATGACCTTTCCCCCACTTTCAGTTCCATCCCATTGCCAATCCTCTTCATGCTCCTGCTATCTAGGGTTCAGTCATTCCCAACACCAGGAAAGTGGTCTGTCTGATGTACTAATTCACATTTGCTAAGAGATCTGAGGAAAGGGCAAAGCTTAATCCAAAACTAATGTGGGAATGGCAGACCTTCTGACAGAATCCTCAGACCTTGCCATGTAGAAAACTACCTATTCTGCCTCTACACAAGACCAGATCTATTCAAAAGAATCAAGGATGGTTATAAGTTTAAATTATAGATCCCAAGAAAAACTAACAGAGTCTGCACCTCACCCCTCCAACCTAGGCACCCAGAAATGTTCTCAGAATATGCCAGAATATGATTGTGTGTGTGTGTGTGTGTGTGTGTGTGTGTGTGTGTGTGTGTGTGTTGGGGAATCTCCTTTCAAGAAAGTCCTGAAGAAAGGTTCACTTCATCTGTACCCTTTGGCTACAACTATCTGGTTCAACTAGAGGATGCTCTCCTTCCCACTGCCCTCAAATACCCAAAGTAAGCTCACAAGTGGGCAGCTCCCTAGACCTCTTTAGGCATATGCAGTATTACCATGTATATTCTTTTTTTTTTTTGTAACCATGTATATTCTATCAAAGGATAAAATGAGAGGGCCAGGGAAACAAAATGACTTTCTTAAGGTCATACAGAAAATTAGTAGCAAAGGCAGGAATAGAGCCAAGGCCTTTTGGCTGCTGGCCAATGAAGGCAGATCATATTGCTTCTCCTTATTCTGTCCTTTTTCATTCTTAATTAATACATTTATTTTGCACCCCTTAAAGTGGATCTTATATGTCTCAGCCTATAAAAGTTAGGCCAATCTGAAAAACCGAAAATGAACATCATCCCTTTTCTACTGTGCCTAATACCTTTTGCTGACTAATATTATCTTTTATATTCAAGTCTTCTCAACAAAGGGGCTAGGTTCTATATGGGAAAAAAGACATTTCCATAGTCTGACATCCTCAGAAACCCTATACACACTGCTCAGATACCACCCACCTAATCCCATAGTAAAAAAAAAA